GGGGAGGGAGGAGGGAGGAGGGAGGAGGGAGGAGGGACAGTGGGGATCATGGCCAAAAGGTGAGGTGTGCGAGAATAGGCTAAGGCCATGCTGACAGGAGCAGATCTTCAACTGAACCAGGACATAATTACCGTCAGATACATTCAAATGAGTTCGGGCATGGTTAGTCTGTGAGGAGCAGGGCGGCCTTCTCAGGCTGTCGGTGGCAACTACCGTCTTCACCCGAATAGAACGCCTGGTCATTACAGCTGTATTTGGGCCGATTTTCAGTCCAGATGCAGCCATAATAAACGGGCGTTCTTCTATTCAGATGAAAACTGTACAACTGCCCATGTCGAAGAAACGAAGCTCGAAGAAGAAGGATATTAACAACAACAAACGATGATGATGACGATGATGATGATGGTGATGACGATGATGATGATGATGATGATGATGATGATGATGATGATGAGGAGGAGGAGGAGGAGGAGGAGGAACCATATGGTCGAGGAGGAGGAGAAGAAGGTGGATCATGGTCAGCAAAAGAAGAAGAAGAAGAAGAAGAAGAAGAAGAAGAAAAAGTGAATTAAATTCAATTGAGAATAGTCAGGCCGATGCCTAACCATCCATCCATGAAGAGCAAAATTCGCATAATCACAGCACCCACACGACGAACATAGCTAAGCTAAACGCAACGAAGAAGGAGGCGGCGGCGCAGAAGAAGAAGAACAGTGAAAACAGTGGCCATAGACATAGACTTCTTCTCGTTCAAGCATCGACAGGTCAAATTTTCATTCCTTCTCCGCATGTACTGTTCTCAGAAAGAATCTGAGAGAATAGAGGGACGGCCAGGCTGCGCTCCCGGCCTGGCCTTGCCTTCCTCAGGGGCCTTCTCCGGAAATCGCCTTGCGGCGCCGTCCCTCTAATTTTCCGATCGAGTGAGTATCTGAGAGAATAGAGGGACAGCTGCTTGGGCATAACCAAAGCTCAAAACGCGCGCATGCAAAGACCGAATTATGATCACAACCTTGAATGAAGGACGATGCACAAGAAGAAGAAGAAGAAGAAGAAGAAGAAGAAGAAGAAGAATTGAATTGAATTGAAGTAGCGAGGCCGACCGCTACGCGTCCATGTTCATAGAGTAGACAACCATAGCTCCTACACGGACTTCCAGCTCAACGCGCACATTCCCCGACGCGTTTCGCCTGGCTGCGCACCAGGACTTCTCAAGGGGCTACCACACTCCCGCAGTAGAAGAAGAAGAAGAAGAAGGAAGTAGGAGGAAGAAGAAGAAGGAAGAAGGAGGAAGAAGAAGATGAAGCAATCAGAACTGCATTCACGAGCCAAGCCAATTGCAAGACGCCAACACGCGACATCACAGTCGGGAGTTGGACACTCCACCAAATGGCTAAGCTGACGAAGAAGATCTCGAAAGGACAACACAGAGACACTGACCGTGATCGGCATCCCGGCCAAAAGTTTCCTTTAGTTGAGTTGAACATGAGCGTGAGCGTGAGCGTGAGCGTGAGCGTGAGAGCGATGAGAAGGTCGTACCTGCACTGATTTCTGCCGCACTGAAGTCGGCGAGTTCGATCGAACCCAGCGGTGGGTGGGACGCACTGAAGTCGGCGGGTTCGATCGAACCCAGCGGGGGTGGGCCGCACTGAAGTCGGCGGGTTCGATCGAACCCAGCGGTGGACCGTGCGCACTGTGAATTCGGCGGGTTCGAACCCAGCGGTGCCGTCGATTTCCAACCAGCAAAACTTGGCTCGCTCACTGTGTACCGCGCACGGCCAGAGAACGTGGCATTGGCCGATGTGCTGTGCTGTAGTTTGGCATGGTAGGAGCACCCGGGCGGGGCCTATTCGCAGTCGCAGGTAAGGCCCGGCCCGAGTTTTGTTAGGGTTTTTAAGAGGCTCGCCACACAGGCTGTCGAAAACCGAGTTTTCGACAGTTTTGCATCGCCACACATACTTTCGAAGAATTCCGGTTCAGAAGTTTTTCGACAGGTGTCAGATGTGTGCTTTCGACAGCCACTGTTGAAAACTCGTTTCCTCCCGCCTGCAGGTGACGGAAATTCGACAGTGCCCCGCCGGGCTTTCGAAAATCGCGTTTGAATTTGGGTTCTCAGAGACTGCTCCCTGACAGCCGTGGCATGTTTGTCTCTATGTAGTGCTGTCGAAAATGGAGTCCGCATCTGGTCCACTTGCGCGCAAAAATTCATCCATGGAACAACTCCCGACAGGCGACCGCCTTCGCCACACAGCACCTGTCGAAAGGCGGCGTCTACTTGCCAACTATCGACAACCTCGCCCCCTGGATAGGCTGTGTGGCGATAGGGAGAGAAATTGTCGATGGCCGGGCTGTCGAAAATTTACTGACACCTGTCGAAAATTTTCGGTTTTCGACAGCCTGTGTGGCGAGCCTCTTAGGGTGAAGGCATGAACATGAACGGCCGCCTGCAATTGAGAATGATTTTATTTTATTGATTTTGTAGTTAGCAGCCCGTAAGGGCTGCGTTTACCACCGTTGATGTGAGGTCAAGGGAAATGGGGCTCCAGAGCCTCAGTAGGTTCGGGAACGGAAAGCTGCGGCCGGCGCTATGCGGTCTGCCGGCGCTATGCGGTCTGCCCACGCGTTACGGGCCGCTAGCACGGCCCTACGATCAGTCGAAGCACTACCACCGAGACAGCGCCCCGGCATTCCCGACGCTTCACCCGGGCCGAAGCAGCTATGGTGCCTTAAGGCCCAACCTAGCTGAGTGTCTGGGAGATCACCGTCCCGCGCCACGAATTGCTGTGCTCAGAATAGAAAATCATAGACACGTATCCTTTCACGTAGAGGACGGAGAGTGTTCAAGAAGAATAGCACGACTATCCAGGGAGATAGCTTTATGAGGAGGCCGGGTGATGGAGCAAACGAGGATGGAGGAGGGGGAGGATGCTGGAGGCAACCGAGCTGGAGCAAGGCCACCTCCGGGACCGCCGGAACAAACTGACTTCTGGGAGGATGAAGATCGGATTAGATCCTTGATGTCGATGTGCTACGATGACGGGGTATATCCAACGGATCTTGACCACGAAGAGATGCAAATTCAAGGAAGAGAGGTTAGCTTTAAATTAAACACATCTCTGGACGAGATCAAGGTGAAGTGGCTCAAGGAAAGGATGGTTTCAGTTATCTTCAAGGAGAACGCAAGATTCTTGGCCCAGAAAGTCAAGGATGACATAATTCGCGCATTGGAAGATAGATGGGTGTTAGGCAGTGAGCGCTTCACGGCAGAGGCAAGAAGAGGAAGAATCAAGATAGAGGGCCCTTATGCGCTCTCCTATGTGGCAAAGTCAAGAGAAGTCGTAGCGTTCATGATAAGCGAAGGAGGAGTGGACATCCCGCTAAGAAATGTGGAGTACAAAGTTCAGTTCAAGCCTTGGATGACGAAGGCGGAATTTAAGGACCTACGAAGGCAAGAGGACAAGCGTACATTCTGGGTGTTGGCCATCCAGGTACCCCTAGATGTTTATGCGCAGATTCAGAAGGCGATGGCAAGATTGCGAGGCCCACCCTCTGGATGCAGATCCTTTGAGACCAGCGTTAGTTAACGCCCGCTTCGATATTCACTCGGAGGCAAGAGGAACATGAGGGACAAGATGACAGTGTTCACATCCAAGGGCGATCAGTTGGAGGTCAAACTCGCTTGCTCCACCACTCCTAAGTGTGGTATATGCAAACAATTTTTCCACATGGATTCGGAATGTCGAAGAGGAGGGATAACACAAAACTCGAACGAGGCGGGGGCAGAGAATGCGAGAAGACAGCACGCGGAGCAAGCCCAGTTAGGCACAGGTCAACATGGCAATCGAAGATCTTAATATCAAGAGAAGCTGTCGAACGCATCGGTCCGGCACCACACGGGGGCAGCGCGGGACCCTCCTGGCCGCGTCACGCAGGAGTTGGTTTAAATCCTTCGTCGCGAATATACATGGAGCTTCCGCAAACCGCTCCAGCCGAGTGCGCCAGCCATACCTCTCGCGAGCCCCTACGACAGGATAGGGCCTACGTGAGGCACAACTTACCTCCACCTTACGGGAGTTGTCGCCTCCCTTCGGTGGGCGTATCCCCGCCAAGCTACAAGTCCACAGTATGAAAGTTAATCAGTTGCAATCTTACAGGTGGACCAACCGAGAGCGTTTCTCGTTCGCTGTAGCATAGGGGGTACGCGCGGTAGTACGCCTCTATCGGACCCGCACGCGAATCAGCATCTTGGGGGGCTGAGATCCCAAGCGCGACTCGACGTCGGTCGACTATGACGCATCCCACGCACCACGCGCACACCACTCTAACGCCATAACTTTCCGCTGCGGAAATCAGATAGGCGTCGCACGCGAGACTTAGTATAAGACCACGCGAACGTAGGGTTATCTCATATAGACTCACAATTCAAACGTGCGCTAGCAGTCGCAATGATGGCGTACTATGTAGTGCCCATAATCAGGTAGTCCCTCGTGGATCTGAGTACCGCTTATGACACTCAAATGTCAGACTCGAGATGCTGTGAGGGTCTAATTCCTCACGACATTGCACGGCTGCAGAAATAGTCGTGCAGCCGCCTCGAGACCTCCGATCTTTGGTCTGAGCGTCTCGGTAGGCAAGACAAATAGGCTCTGCACGGGGGCAGATTCCTTCCCTGCAGAGTCTAGGGCTTGGGATGTCCTGGACAAGGACCTTGAATCCCGGCCCGGGACCAACGTCCAACTATAAAAATCTCAAAAAGCAAAGGATAAAGGAGGATCTTCTCTATAAGAAAATGGAGAATAATCCTCATATCACGATCTCCTCAAGAATCACTCTACCTAACTATATCTAAGCTTACCTCTAAGCAAGTGCCCAAAGAAAGGTAGGCTCATCGCAAATCTCCCCTATTCAGAGTGGACTACCAAAATCGTCCCCTGTCAAAATATAATCTATCTCTTTCAAACTAAGAAAATTTCGACAACGCTTCTCGTAGGAAAAGTGTCTTTCAAAATTTATATAAGTCCAAATATGAAAGCAGAAATAAACTTTAATTATGAAATGTCCAATATTCTCTAACTCCCTAAATTAGTAAAAAATTCGGCAGCACTCCCTTTAAACAGGAGTCTTTCTCAGATTTATACTAAGTCAGATATGAACTTCAAAGACAACTTGAGTTCAACTTTAGACAAAATTTAACTAACTTCTTAGTTGTGCAGAAATTTCGGCAGCACTCCCCCTAGAAAAGTTTTATTCCAAAATTTATACAAGACTAAGTTCAGAATTTGAAAGTAACTTTGACTTCTCAAAGTCCAGTTTTGTCTAATTCCCTGAATTAGCAAAAATTTAAGCAGCACTCCCTTTAGAACAGCAGACTTCCCAGATTTAAACTAAGTCATATATCGGAAAAGACAAGTTGAACTTTTGACCAGTCAAAAATTTGACTAACTCCTTGGATTTGTAGAAATTTCGGCAGCGCTTCCCGTAGAGAAAGTAGCTTGCCAAGATCTATACAAAGCCAAGTACAAAAAATAATCCCAGAAAATGCGAGAATTGATCTAAGTAAAAAAACTTAGCTCAGAAAATGCAGGAATTGAAACTAACTCCTATAGCTCTAGCACGTGGCGAGCGACTAAAGCAACTACCTCTCAACCTGAAACTCGGACCAAGTAGTAATCTCACTCAGCCTCATGCAGGCCAACCCACAAAGGTAAATACTCTCACCATCCCAAGTTTATCCAGACAACAATAGTTCATGATCTTTCAATAATTTTAACCCTCTTATACCCAGCTTACATAAGGCATAAAGTCAGGCCATCCAAACTTATGGAATGAGCCTAACTTGCCAAAGAGTATACACAAAACAGAGGGAACAAGTACTTTTTTTTTCTTTGGGCATATGACTAGGTCATTCTAATCGCCCTGAATTGTTTAAGATATCCAAGTTATATATATCTGTCTTCCCTTTGTCTTCTAAGGCTGCATAGGATTGAACTAACTTAAGTTCAATCTGCCCCAACTTACCATCAATTTTATTCTTAGTTATACTCTCTTCAAGTTGTAATAGGCTATGGTCAGACCACCTAAACTTATAGAACAGTCTGATTAGCTCGTTCTTAAATAAAATAATAATAAAGAATAGCCAAATTATAACCATAAGGTTCCAGCATGTGCGAGGCTTTGAACCAGACCCCTTAACTTACAGAAGGGTCTAACTCTCTGCCAACTTCCTTTCTCTTCGATTCATCATGTGTGTGACATCGAGTCAGAAGCCCTGAACTTACAAAAGGGTCTGCCCTTTGCCAATATTACTTCTTCAGAATAAAAAGCAGGAAGACGCCAAGTCACCTAAACTTATAGAACAACTCAGACCTCCTCGTTCACAAACCAAAGAAACAGATAAAACCCCAGTGAAAACAAGGCAACCCCAGACACCTAAACTTATTCAATGCTCCGAGTCCCCGAAAAATCATGCACAATCAAACCCCTCACAGGTTAGAGCGGTCAGGTCACCTTAACTTACAAATCAACATGACCCTCCATGTAAGTCACAACACTATGTCTCCTCAAACTTATGGGGACATCCTAGCCTCCAAGGCAATTAGACCCCCTAAACTTATAGAAGGGTCTAATGCTTCAATCAAAACCAAACGAAACAAAGCACTGGGTCTCCCCAAACTTATGGGGACCTCCCAGCCTTAATGACCCAGTCGCCCATCACGCAAAACAACCCGCTATCCTGCCTTTCCCCAGATGCAGTTCTTTCCAGCAATCTGAATTCACACAATCAATAAAATTGAAACTGAACTTGAACATACATTCCTTTACTTAGTCTTGTTTAGTCTCCTGAAAGTCAAACCAAAAATAGAGTAGAGCTGCATACCATATATTAAGTCAGCGATGCAATGGGAGATACGGATAGGGGTTATACCTGGGTTTACAAAAGGAAAACAATGGTTACCCGTCAGTTCCCTGCCTCCATAACTCCTCCTCAGTTCCGGCAGAGCTCCCGCAATCAGTGGGATGACTCCCCACAGAGTCTTGTTGTGGTCCTACGGGTTGCAATCCCGCCTGCCGCCTTTCTCTCAGAACCAACAAACTAGACTTAAAGTAAGAAAGGCAGAAGTAGAAACGTTAAGACTCTCAGGTCCAAGGGAGGTGCCCTCAGACTCGCAGGAGAGGGCCTTGTTACCTTCATGCGTCTGAGGGCCCCGCAATGGTGGCCAAGAACGCAGTGAGCCGGTCGACTGAAATCAAACCGCTAACTGTTGACTTCCCTGACGATCCTCCGGATCGCGGCAATAACCTCTTCTACAACCCCAATTCCTTTTTCATCATTCGTGGTCTGAAATGCCCTGGCCACCGCTCCGAGACATGAGCTGTGGACCAAAACAAACGCAGTTTTCTTCCTCTCCGCAGTGAAGGAGGGCGGGGCTTGGCTGGCCATGTTACGGTAAAGCGTGTGCAGATACCAGATATGTTGTCCTCACCAAGCCCTTACAAGCACTTCTGCTCTCAGCCATGCTACGTTACTTCACTCCTCACCATTCAGCACGTCAAAATGTGCAGCATATCGGCCGAACAGGTAAGTCTACCTTGCTTCTTCGTGCGGCAGCACGGGCACTATACCAGCTAAATAGCCAGACACGCACCTCCGTGGCGGACTTGCTGCTGCACAGGTTGTCGTAATAAACGGCACACCGTTCAGCAGACAGAACTATTGTTCCAGCGACCGACCTGTTGCGGGTCAGCCCGATGGGCTGGGCTCTACACCCTCCCTGACAAGCAAGCTTGCCACCTCATTGCCCGCTCCTTTGCTCCAGCTCCTGCAACCCAAATGGCGGTGCACAGATTGATGGTATGCCCCCCCCCTTCCTCCAACTTTCTCCTGCCCGGCGCTCAGCGCTCAAACTGTGGACAGCGCAACTACTACTAGCCAGCAGATTGGCAAAGCATATGTCAAGGCCTTACTGATCTGACGCATGTGGTAACCTCGACCTCTCGTAGATAAACGTTCGGCCAGGTACGTAATTTTCCACCACTCTTTTACTTCTCTTCTCCCCCTCTTCCCATTCTGACTTTCTACTCTTCTGCCCCCTGCACCTGGTAGGAATCTCGGCCCGGTACACACAGATCGAGGAGCAGGTAAGCCGAGCACAACTCCCGTCGACTCCCGTTATTCCTCTGCTGAGCTCCAACCACCAGGTAAGTCTCCAACTCCTCAACTGACCTCACCCTACTCCGTAGACGGAGTGAGCAAAATCGAGTGAATCTACAGCCAGAACATGGAGATATACTTCGCCTTTCTCGTCTGAGGTAAGCTCTCCCTCTCTCTCACATTTCTTTCCTCTCTCTACCTCGCTGCATAACTCGCATGCCTTATCGGCTGGGTGCAGTACATCCCTCTGTTGGATCACGGAAGGTACGGGCCCTCTTGCCTTKCTGSCRCAACCGACTTTGGGCAGGTAAGTGCCCAACTCCTCCCTTCTTACYTGGTTTGTGTATTCCCCTGTGTATGGGCRCACCTGKCCTTCAGTTCGRCCAGGTTCAKTCTGAGGCAACTAGAYGACTACCTCCTCTGACWACCAACCGGAGAGCAGGCCACRGGAACGGGTATGKGAACSCGACRYYATGGTYAGTCCCTKGGGACTGCCATAATGACGA